ATTAGCAGAGTGACTTGAAACAAGTGATTTAATGTCATGGATCCTCAATTTCCTCCCTGTAAAATGGGGATAAGAATAGCCACATATAAACTTCATCAGGGTTCTGAGACTGTTAACTGAGATGTACTTTGTAAATTGTAAATATGAAGATCATTATAACATCCCTAACAAAGAAGACATCTATTCTCCACATGGGGTTCTTTTATTTTTATCTTTTTGTCCCCACTACCACCACAGTGGCTGGTATATAGTAAGCACTTAACAAATGCTTGTTGATTGATTGATCCAATGATAGGGAATTCACTATCTCCCCAAAAAGCCTACTTTTGGACATTAGTTTTTAGGAGGTTTTTCCTCATAATGAGCCAAAATCTGCATTTGTACAATTTTAACTCATGGCTCCTAATTCTGCCTCCAGACCCAAAAGAACAAGTTCACTGCAAGAAGGAGAAAAATTAACCATAAAAACCACAAGAAACATACAACAAGGTTTTCAGTTCCTCTTAGAATAGTCCATCTATACAGATTTCCCAAATTAACAACCTTCCCTGAATATTCCTATTGTACATTCAAGAAAGCTCTCAAATGCTATCAATATCTAAGCCTCCTTTGGGAAGATGAATACAGTCACAAACAAAATATATAAAGAAATAAGATTTTTTTTGTTGTTGTTGCAAACTGATCTCCAAATTCAAGAGGCAATATGGGGATCTTGTTGTTACCTGGATATATGTATAAAAAAATTTTTAAACAAAATCTCCAGAGAGGGAGAGCCCATAAATAACTTGTCAAGCAGGAAAAATTGCTGTTAGAATACAGAAAAATCTAGAAGGATCAGGCTTGTCCTAAATTTAAAATGCCAATATCATAATAATCTACAGGAATCACATCTCATGCTACATATCAAAGGAACAGCCTATGGAGAGAATTTCCGTGAGGCTGATATCTTACTTTGCTTACCCTCACTACATCTGTTTCTGCCATGCAGAACAAAAAGCAAAAACCCACAGAACAGATTTGCTTCTGTTCTCATCCTACACAATTCCTGGATTTCCTTTCTAAAACCCCCAGTACCTGCTGGACCTACCTAGTTCAATGTTTACAAAGTACTAAGTGATCAAAAACATTCATATGCATATATCTATATAGAGATATTATATGTAATGTATCTTTTTCGACTTGTAGAAGCTTCATGTTGAAAGCAGATTCAAGAAGGGTTCCAGATAATTTCAGGAATAATAGAACCATAAGTGAAAAATTAAGAGATATTGAGGAATGGGGAGAGGACTTCACAATTTTTAAGGCTGATCACAGTAAATCATGTTCTTTCCTTACTGAAACATTCTTTAATCAGGGACATAACATGCTGGACAAACTGCATTTAACCAAGTGGGGCCCCCCAGTAAGTCTTATTTAGTCTCATTAAGCCTTATTTCCCACACACTTCCTTTTTAAAGTCACACTTCTAATTTCATTAGCATGGGGAGCTCCTGGTGAAGTACCTTCCTCTTCCAAAGCAAACGCAGACCTTTCCTGCAATTTCTAGTTTTAGAAAGTCTCCTGTGGCATTGAGAACTTAAGTTTCTTGCCCAGGGTCCCACAACCAGGACGTGTCATAGGATTTTGGCAAAGGAGCCAAGGTCTTCCTTTGTATCCCTAGCACTTAGCACAGTATCTTACACAAAGTAAGCACTTATTAAATACTTGTTGACTTCCTAATTCCAAAGTGACCTTTTTATCTACTATACAGCAGTGTTTCTCACCTGTAGACTACCTCATTAAATCTCACAACAGTACTGTCAATAACATAAGGCTATGACAGAAATTGAAAGTAAAGAAAATTCATGAAAAAGTTCCTTCCTCAGGTCCCTCAAAACTAAATCTAGGAATCTAGAAAAAGACATATCCCTGAAGATAATGTGAGTCTACCCAAAATGAATTTTAATGAATTACAAACAGCAATTATAATTACAACCAGAAACGAGAAGGAGGACAGGTGGAATGTGCTCAATCCAGCCAACACCCCAATCAAATGGGTCACATGGCCTTCTGGGAAAACAAAAGCTCCCATGTGACCTCTGAGACCCAATCCCACAAGGCACCAAAGAGCAGTGTGTGTACTCAAAGAACAACAAACAGATCCAGTGTTCAAGAAACCTGTTACTGGGTCAGATCAGAATCACAACCCATGGCTTCCTCATGGTAGAAGAGTCAACCTTTCTCATTTGTCAATTTACACAACTTCACTGGTTAATGACGAATAATGAGGATTCCACCACGGATTTATAGACCTCTCCACACTTTTTTAAGTCATCACCAGTACCACAGGATCAACAAACCCTTCTAGGAAGTAAAGCAGCTAAGGCAGGCATTATCTCCATTTTACTTACACATGAGGAAAATGAATAAAGAGGAAAATGAATCATAAAGATAAGATCATTACATTCAAGAATGCAAATAAGTGTCAGGGTCAAGACAAGAACCCAGGTCTCCTAACCTCCAAATCAGTATTCTTTCCCCTATGTGTCCTGAACACCACCTAAAGCAAGTGTGGGGAACCTTCAGTCTCGATGCCACATGTGGCCCTGTTGGTCCTCTCATGCAGCCCCTTAACTGACAGAGTTTAGATTCAGTCAAAGGGCCGCAGGTGAGGACCAAAGGGGCTACATATGGCTTTGAGGTCACAGGTTCCCCACCCCTGAGTCCTAAAGCATGAATCTTGGGCTATAATGAATGTTTTTGTCTCTCTTTGTACCCCATAACCTTTACCACAGTACCTGGCACATAATAAACATTTGTCTGTTGACTGACCAAACATCCAAACTGCAGCAACATGACGAGAAAGGTATATGCAAAAACATAAAAATTGTCTAAGTCAGTAATATAAAAATAAAGATTCTTTCATCTATATATAATGAGACCATTTTGGAAATCTAAAGAAACTCCAGCCTTACCTATATTGTCTAGAATATGCCTGTTTGAAATGAAAACAAGAGTTAATCAAAGGCTACTTGTCACATTTATTTATCTTCCCCTCATACCTAACAGAGCTAGGACCCTAAACCCAAGAGTCTACCTAGCACATCACCAGCCCTGCAGAGCTGTCTCTGAGGGAAGCAATCCCTGTGAACAAAGGGTCCACCATCCTCACTATCAGCAATATCAACTAATTAACACTGGTGGGCTAATGAGCCCTAGAATGACAGCACTGCCCAGATCACCATCCCAGTATCTCTGAAGCTGTCATCCAGGAAAGCAACACCTATGGAGAAGCAACATAGCAACTACTTCTACAGGTGCTAAACCTCCCTCCTCCTCAGAAACCACAGCTACTGAAGATCCTAGAAAAGAAAGGTCTGGCCACCAAAGTTTTTAATACTGTCAAATAATTTAATATCAGAAAGCTGATATGATTTTGTCAGTGAAAACAACATTAAAGAAAATACAATACCATTTGCTTGGCCCCAGCTCCTTAAGAGTTATGGGTTCTTTCCATCTAACATACAGCTGAAACTTCTTATATTAAGTCTTCTCCTATAAGAATGTGAGCTCCCTGAGAAGGTACTGTCTGTTTTTCTATTTGTATCCAGTCCTTAGCATAATGTTTTATATACAGTAAAGCATTAATAAATGTTTTCTCATCCATAAATTCAAGTTAAATTAAAACTCTGAATAAGAAGTTTTTTAAAAGCATAAAGGAAAATCTAGGCTGCTCATGAGCCAGTCCTATGCTCTGAAACAAAAATTACAGAAGGAAAACAGAAGGAAATCACATCGATATGTAATATATTCTTGAGGTAAAATTTTGTGCTGAAAAATTTCCTAATTAACTTACATCAGCTTCTAAGGCGATAGAGTACAAAAGGCCTGCCAAAGTCCCAGCCTAAAATAATCTAAATGGCAATTATATCTACATATACTCCCCACACAGACCCTGACTTGCAAAAGGCGTCCAAAACAGAGACAGTTCCTCTGAGCTTTATGACTATTTGACAATTAATAAAAAGTCTAGGTGCTCTTTATGAAATTTTGGCTTAGGGAACCAGATTTAAATTTACACTGCTCTAAGCATTATAATGAACTTAAGATGAGACCAGTTCTTGCCATGTCTCCTATCTTCACTGGCAGTACAGAGTATCCCTCTCCTCAACTTGTTTCCTGCCCACCCACACAGCAAATCTTTATACTATCCAGGGGTGGAGAACCTGCAGCCTCAAGGCCACTTCTCACATGGACTCAGTCAAAAGGCTGCACCCGAGGATCTAGAGGCTGAGTCCAAGTTTAACAGAACAAATCCTTTTATTAAGGGGATGTGTTTTGTGAAGTTTGGATTCAGTCAAAGTGCCACAGTTGAGGACATAGAGAGCCACATGTGGCCTCAAGGCCACAGGTTCCCTACCCCTAACAGCTATACTCATAAATGACTAACCTTCCCTAAAGCCCATTGGGCCCAGTTATAACTCAATAAAACAAAAGAAAAGCCAAAAAGGTGATAACACATAAAATACCCTGCCGATCTTAAAGTCCTACTTTTCAGCATAAACCATATCATGGGTGCTCTATAACTATGAAATAATAAAGCTGACAGAGGTTACCTCAAAACTGATATTCAGGAAAATGACTTTTTCAAACTTATGGGAATCAATGTTTTTGCATTACCTACTAGATAAAATATGCAGTAAATGAAGCAACTATATTGCCTTCATTAACATGTATATGTATATATACACATAGAAAAATATCATGTCACTTATCCCTGATACGACTCATCTTAAACAAATCTATGATGGTACAATGCTAACATAACATCTTTGTTATAAGTTCTAAATTAAACAAACTCCACCAGCTTCCTTTATATCCAACCCAATCAGTGTACCTAGTACACTAATATGCACACTCCAAAGAGTATGAATCTTCAAAACAGCAGGGACAGGTTTAGATATGCTACAGAAATCAACTAGCTGGAAAGTTTTAGGACGAAACAAATTTCATATACTCACAGGTATACTCCAGATCTGCATTCCGTCACTGTACCCAATCATTACAAGCAAAGGCGGTTCATTTCCAGTGCCATGTATTTCATGAAATTCCATATTCCTTGTTGTATCTATATTGGAATTAAAATATTAAGGAGGAAAATTAAAGGAAAGAAAACCCAATTAAGAACATAACTGGAAGATAAAAATTCTGAAAACAAACAGTACCAGGAAGCTAAAATTTTAAATCTGATTATCTTCTAGAGCAGAGATAGTATAATGAGAAATATAAAATTTTCATACATTGATAGCTGTCAATTTAAATGAGACCTGAAAAAGCAAACACAGCACAAAAACAGGGAGCAAAACCAAGTGCAGGTAACAGTAACCAAATATATATATATGTGTGTGTATATATATATATATATGTATATATATATGTATGTGTATATATATATAACTCTCTGATCAAAATAAGTATGTTTAAAAATCTTTTAAAAGTTCAAAATTTTTTTAGTTTCTAATTTCCACAATCTGTGGATTTTATGGAATTTTTTTTAGCAAATAGTGGCAATAAAAGGAATTAAAATATGTGTATATAAAAATCAGTGCATGTATATGAATCTTGATATCCTTCTGGAAAACTGGACATATAGACAAGAAGAATATATGAGCTTATGGGAATCAATGTTTTTGCATCACCTACTAGACAAAATATGCAGTAAATAATATAAGAAACAGGTAACATGCTCCCTGTCTAAGAGGAGATATCAATCTCCTAGGGAAGACAAAGTACACACAAATTCCATTTCATTCATAAAACCTTCCAAGATTCCCTCACTAAAAGTGATCTTTCCTTCCTCCAAAGTTCGGCAACACTTCTGTACCTTTCTTATTGCACTTATCATTCTACATTGCATTACTCTCATTAAGCAAATATGACTTATTACCCCTATTACATCATAAGTTCCTTGAGAGCAAAAACTATATCTCATTCATTCTCCCATAGTATCTATAACATAGTAGGAACATGATAAACATTAGTTAAATGTTAAGTGAAATGAAAAAGTAATAATGTAAGATTAAATCAATGACAAAAAAACAAATGCTACTAGAGTTCAAAGAACAGAGAAAGATCATTGTGGATATGGTGGTCATGAAAGAGTTGGGATCTGAATTAAGTCTGAAAGGACCATCAGGCTTAGGGATGAACTAGGCCAAGTCATAAACAGAGGAAGGAGGAAAGGATCTTTCATCATCACTACATTTTTCAAAACACTAATTTTAATACTTTTAAAATATTATTTCCAACTGAAAAACTAGAAAATTAAAACTCTTGCTTTTAAAACAAACACATGTGGCATATTGTAGTGAAAATATGTTTCTGTATGATCCTGTGATGCTCTGTAAACAAAGTAATTTTCTAGTGTCTCTTTTGAATGCTTTCTCATTATTTGGGACCTAACATAACTTTAGCTTGTGATACAATTTTAATCTTCAGTGGAAATTTACTAGCTTTCCTACTAAAAAAAAAAAAACAAAAAACCATGCCTTGGCCTCCTCTGACAGTGTACTCTGATATGCTATCACCCCAGGCATAAAGCCAGCACTGCCAAGGTGGCTACGAAGCTGGGACAGTGGCTGGATCTTCAGCACCCTGCATCTGGAGATAAGGCCTAGAGTGGCTCACATATTTAGGGGAAACACCCCATCGTCACCTCAAGGACAAAGAGAAAGGCCTCCCTCCTTGCTTGAAGGTGAGGAGGAATGCTCCACTCTCACACAAAAGGCCAAAGGGAAGAACAGCCCAGAAAAATCCTATATGAATCACATTGAAACTTCCAGGCAGCAGAGCAATCCCTGATAGTCCTTGGACTGCTTAATTGTCTCCCACTCAGCGGAGACCCAGGGATTTCCCTTCCTCTTCCTCAGTGATAACGTAAACCCCTTAACAGAGCTCCTTGGGGCTCTGCCCTTCTTCCTCTCCTTTATCTACATTTAGGTTTCACTGTTGTTACACTGACTGCTTCTGGAACCACTGCTGTCTACCCACCAACTACCGCTGCCAGTGAGTGTCAATGAGCCACCAATAAAGACTCCTGCAGTGACTCATGGAGTCACCCCTTCATACCTGAATCCAAATGAACCAGCCAGATGAACAACAGGTCAAGAAGGTGCCATTGGTACCTTCCTTTAGTCCATGAGCCACTGACTACATAAGTACTATGACTAACTGCCATGACAACTGCATCTCCACTATCAGAGATGGAGAGGCAGCTTTGCTACTACCTCCAATCCAACCTGGGGTGGGCAAGAGTCAAGTCACTGAAGCATAGGCTCTAGTGGTAGGGACCCCTACTCCCCCTAACCTTAACTCATGAACCACTGTTCCAAATAAAGATCATTCAGCCAGGGAGCTGCACTACCATCCTAAAAAGCATAGTGCTGTGATTCCAGACTTTAAAGCAAGTGCTCGTTTGAGAGAACTAGAGGTTCATCCTACTAGATCCATAAATTGCTGACCAAGACTGGGATTAGGACACTTGCAGCCACACCAATACCCTGATGAACATGGAGCTGTAATTCAGAATTTATTTGAAAGCAAGGGTTAAAGATCTGAACCTCATGCTTCAGCAATAGTGAATTCCTTTTCCTCTCAAACCTACAAGCACAGACCAAGACTATGACTAGGGGCTCCAGGTGTTACTATCAGAGTCAGGATCGGAACCATATGATTCACCAAAAGGGAAACTCTCTCTGCTGTGGTCAGGGCAAGGCCTGTGCCCCCAAGCAGTGTAAGTGAATACATCAGTAGTATTGCCACTACCAAAATATGTTCTTATGAAATAAACTCAGTTTGCAGCTTACTTGGAAGACCCTCCCTCAAGCTCTACCAGTAGTTCTCATCCCATACTTAGAAAATTAGTATCCTACAGAACTAGAATTGTATTTCAAAAAGGAATCTATACAAACAATGATAAAATTCAATAGGTTGGGGCAGTGGGCAAATAGGAACTCTAAAGCAATGTCACTGGGATTATAGATTGGTGCAAAAAGTTAGAACAATATGTGATAAGAGAAATCAGCCAAAACTTTTTTACTTTAAATGTTCAGATATTATCCAAAAAAATCACAAAAATGAAAAGAGATCTATATGTACAGAAATATGAACAGCTGTTCTACATGTGGCAGCAAATATCTGGAAAAAACCCTATGTGCAACAACTGGAGAACGGATGAATAAATGATGGCATATTAATGAAATGGAATATTGTGGTGCCATAGATATGAAGATAGAAAGACCTAAATGAAACTACACAGGGCAAAATCAACAGAAGCAGAAGTGTATACACTCTAACAAATATACTGAAAGGAAAGGTACAGGCAGCAAAACTTGAGACAAATTTGGAATGGGACATATGAAAAAAGTCTTTTTTTTTTTTTTTACTTTTTATTCATTTGATTTGACCTTCCTAATTACTAAGGACTTTACATAAGAATTTACTCCCTGTTTTGTATATTTATTGGATTACCTGCTTTTACTGATGGTTATTATAATGGTTTAGAGTGGTTTATTATAATAAAACTTAAATGAATCTTGGGGAAAAAACTACAAATTTACCTAGCTAATACAGTGGAAATTTGGCAGAGAAAGTCAGAGAATCTTAAAAACCCACTGTACAAAGGGCTTTCCTACTTCATATTTCAGTCATTTACACTGAAATCCATAGGATCAAAAAACAATCATAAACAGAGAGGGATAAAAGACCATAAACAAGAAGATAAATGAAGAGGGGCAAATTATGAGGAAAATCCAGAAGGGAAGAGCTGAACTTATTAATAATAATTAAGAGGCTAAAGATATTGGCAATGGAACATAATGAAAAAAATGCAGTATCAATCTGACATTTACATAATACTTTAATGTTTAAAAAGTATTTTCCCCACCACTCTAAGGCATTGAGGGCAGGTGTTGTTACCCCCATTTTAAGAAGTGGAAATTGCAGTTCTGGTACATTAATGTGTTTTGCCTAAAGTAAAACAAATATTATGTGTCAGAGCTAAGATTCAAATCCAGGTCTCTCTAAGTCTAGTCCTTTATTTTCATTTTGCCAGCCTGCCTTTCATGAAGGGAAGATATAAACATTTTCAAAAGAAATTATCAATTACACAAGGAAAATCTGAAAAAAAACCTCAGAAGATAGAAGATATACACTATTCAAGAATCTTCCTATTTCAAATGCATAGAGGAATCTTTATTCTATTCAGAGATGGAGGGAATCTTTCCTATGCCTACTTAATGAGAGGATAAGAAATACAATTATTATGGGCTACAGGGCCAATAGTCTGTGATGAAACCCTAGACTGAGATACATCTGGGCTCAAACCCCAGTTCTATTTTATTATCTACAAAATAGGGCTAACAATAAATACTTCGCTAATCACTCATGGGATTGTTTTAAGGATGCCTCTGCTTATCAAATGGTAAAAAACTAAATAAATAAGAGCTGTTGTCACTGAGACAATCAACTACAGCTTTCAGTAACTCAAATGAAGCAAGTACTCAATTACTATCATAAGCATGGGACATATTTATACCAAGCTTTAAATCTGGCAAAGTGCTTTACCTATGTTATCTCATCTAATCTTCACAAGAGCCCTGAGAGTATTTTTATTCCCACTTTACAGATGAGAATGCTGAGGCCCAGAAATATTAAGTGATGTCCCTATGGTCAAATAACTAGAGTCTGAAGCAATAACCAAAATGAGGCAAGTCTCTGTTGAGTTCAAGCCCAGTACTCATTCCACTGCCCTATGCAGCCTTCGTGGGCAATGAGTGCTGCCAAACTTCACATGAAGAGCTTCATATAGAATGGAGGTCCTCATCTTTTATGTGATTTGGAATAAAGACATAAAACTTTTGCTGTTGTTTCAGTGTATCAAATTTTAAAATCTAAGGAAAAAAAGTAAAATTTTCATCATTGAAGACTATTTTGGAATCATTCACCAAAATTTGACTTCAACATACTTTTTATGGAAGCAGCTAGGTGATGCAGTGGATAGAGCTCCAGCTTTGGAGTCGGGAGGACCTGAGTTCAAAACTGGCCTCAGACACTTGACACTTACTAGCTGTGTGACCCTGGGCAAGTCACTTAACCCCTACTGCCTCACCCAAAAAAAAAATTTGAGTTACTGAAAACATACTTTTTATGAAAGAATATTTATTGGAGTTCATGAAATCAACTCAACCTTGAACAAATATTTCAATAGCATTCTTAAGAATAAAACCATACCATTTAAATCTGCATTTTCAAATCTGACCCATACTATTTTCTCCTTTTCTTCTGTCAGAGGTGTACCACTGTAAGCCTAGATGAGAAATAAAAATATTTGTATTAAAATTACATTCTACAACTTTTAATAACCAAAAGTCCCAATAAGAAATTTTTAAATACTACATTCCTCGCAACGGTCATCTTACATTTAAACTGCATGGAGCTTCCTGTAAAATAAGTACTAAAATAAAACTAGCTGTTTCCCACTCCAACTTCATCACCCCCAAGTTTAGGTAGCAAGCCCTATAAAAATAGCCATTTGAAAAAACAATACAGGAATTTGGAGCAGTTTTCTCTCTAAAGAAAATTATCTAGAGGTCTGATCTAATTTTGTGTGGCCTTGATCAAGAAAAGTTTTTGTACTACATAAAAGAAATTTCCATTATCTAGGAATAATGGGTAAAAATCACCACCGAAATGTATTATGCATATAAAGTAATTTTTTTTAATTATATAACTTTTTTAATCAGCAAAAATCCTTCTCACTCTCCCATCCCAACCAACTCAAACTGAGAACAAAGGAAAAACAAAATCTGTCATAAATATGTATAACAAGCAAAATAAATTTCCATATCAGTTGTGTAGAAAAAAATGTCTCATTCTGCACCCTTGAGTCCTTCACTTCTCTATTATGAGGTGGGTCAGCACATTTCATGATTAGTCCTCTGGAATTGTGGTAGTTATTGCCCTGATAAAGAGTTCCTAACTATTTCAAAGTTGTCTTTATCATATGTGTTGTCATTGTACAAATTGTTCTAATTCTGTTCACACTGCCTCAGTTCATAAAAGCCTTCCCAGGTTTCTCTGAAATCATCTCCATCGTTTCTTATAACAACAGTATTACATTGTCCTTATATACCGTAACTTGTTCAACCATTCTCCAATTTATGGGCAACTCTTTCAGATTCCCATTCTTTGCCACATTAAAAAGAGCTATAAATATTTTTGTACATCCTTAGATTGTTTTGCTTAGGACTAATCCCTCCCTTAATCTACCCTCTCTCTAAGTCCCCATCACCTCTTTTTCCCCCTTCTATTTTTCTGTTGAGTGAAATATATTTCTGTACCCAACTCTGTGTGTGTGCGTGTGTGCTCACATATATAGTTTTCCCTCCTTTGAGCAATTCAGATAAGAATGAGATTGAAGTGTAATCTACTTTTCCTTCCCTCTCCTCATTAGCATAGATATCTACTCGCAAACCCTAATAATGTAAGATAATTTTCCCCTACCTTTTTTTCTCTTCTCCTTCTCCCTCTTCCCCAGTGTATTCCTCTTCTCTTTACATTCTTCTCTTAAAATTATCAAGATCTAACAAAACCAACCACTCTCAAGCCTTGTCTCCCTGACTCCCTCTATGTACTCTAATGATGACAAGGTATCATCTCCTCATATTTGGAAGTAAGCATTTTATTCTCCATTCCTTTATTCATTCATTCATTTTTACCTTTTTATATTTCTGTTGATTCCTTTATTTCAGCTTCCAAGTTTCTACACAGTTCTGGTCCTGGTCCTTTCATCAGAAATATCTGAAAGTCCTCTATTTCATTAACAATCCATTTTTCTCCCTGTAGCATTATATCCAATTACACTGGACAAGTTACCCTTGGTTATAAGCCAAGAATACCACGTTCAAGCTTTCTGCTCCTTGATAATGGCGGCTGCTAAATCATGTGTGAACCTGACAATGAGGCCTAGGTACTTAAATTCTTTCGTTGTGGTTACTTGCAGTATCTTTTCATTTGACCTAGAAGCTCTGCCTTTTTTTTTTTTTTGGCTATGATGTTTGACTATAAGTTTTCATTTTAGGATTTCTTCCAATAGTTGACCAATGAATTCTTTTTCTACTTTGCCTTAAGAGATCTAAGAGATCTGGGGAGTGTTCTTTTAAAAATTTCTTGAAATATGATGTCTAGGCTCATTTTTGGGTCAACTGAAAGCCTACCATCATGACTTTAACATAGTCCAAAGACTCTTGTTCTGGGAGCCAAGATGGCGGAGTAAGAAGTAAGTCACTCTTACCCTCCTTTATTAACCTCTGAAAGCCAAGAAAATATCACCCCAGGAAAAACCCTGGAACAGCTGAACCAGAAGAAAGATGGGGTGCAGCAGTCCAGGAGCCCAGATAGCTTGAGAGATTAAAGGGAAAGGCTCCTCTTGCCCTGGGGGAAGGGGAGCAGTACAGAATGGATGGCATCCCAGCAAGCTAGTGGGAAGCCCCACCTCCGCATACCAGGAGGAGATCCTGAAACCTAGGTGGAGGAGCAGGCAAACACCAACACCAGGACTCCCAAGTGCCTCAGTGAGGGCAGGGTAACCAGTGGAAACCAGTTCAGAAAATCACTAGGTGCCTCCACATTCTACAACGACCAGGTCTCCCAGTGCCTCAGCAAAACTCTGAGAAGCAGCGCTCCAAGGGGTCCCAGGCAGATAAATATCCTACAACACTCATCTAAAAGAAGCTGAAGAAAGCAAAAGGAAGGAAAGGCCTGGTTAAGCAGGCAACCTCCAGGGACCAAACTACCCAATCCTACCCCTAGAGTTCCAGTGCTGCTTACTCCAGCCCAATAGCAGGTAGGCTGCCAGAACCCTACAGCCTCCAACTGCCAGCATCAGAGGCCCCAGCATATAAAGCCAGTGACCAGTCCCTGGGCTCCCAACACAAGAAGTTCAGTGCCCCCTGCTCCCCAGCAGGAGAGCTCAATCTCTTTAAAGGCCAGGAAATAAGCAAACACCTTGAGCAAAACGAAATATACAATAGATTTTTACTATGGGAACAGTGAATATCAAGGTAGAAATTCTGAGGAGGACAACATTGTCAACAAACCCACATCTGAACCTCAAAAGGGAATATGAACTGATCTGAAACCCAAAAAGCCTTCTTGGAAGAGCTCAAGAAGGATTTAAAAAGTCAAATGAGAGATGTAAAGAAAAATTGGGAAAAGAAATGAGTGGTATGCAAGAAAGAGTCAATATCCTGGAAAAAAAGGACAAAAATTAACTGAAGAAAACAAGTCCCTAAAAAGTACAACTGGACAAATGGGGAAGGAGGTACAAAATTTAATAGAAGAAAACAATTTGTTAAAAATTAGAATTGGGCAAATGGAAGCTAATGACTCAATGAGACAGCAACAACAGAAACAAAAGAATGAAAAAATAGATGAAAATGTAAAATACCTCATTGGTAAAACAACTGATCAGGAAAATCGATCCAGGAAAGCCAATTTAAAAATTATTGGTCTACCTGAAAATCACGATGAAAAAAAGAGCTTTAGGTTTGGAAGTCCCCTTTTTCATTGAATATCCATCTCCTCCCCTGAAAGATCATGCTCATTTTCGCTGAGTAGTTGATCCTTGGTTGTAATCCAAGCTCCTTTGCCCTACAGAATATCATGTTCCATGACCTACGGTCTTTTAATGTAGAAGCTGCAAGGTCCTGTGTAATCCTGACTGTGGTTCCGTGATATTTAAATTGTTTCTTTCTGGCTGCTTGCAGGATTATCTCTTTGACCTGGTAATTTTGGAATTTGGCTACTATATTCCTTGGAGTTTTCAATTTGGGATCTCTTTCAGGAGGTGATAGGTGGATTCTTTCTATGGCTATTTTACCCTCAAGGAAGTTTTCCTTGATGACTTCCTGAAAGATATTGTCCAGGCTCATTTTTTCATCATGATTTTCAGGTAGACCAATAATTTTTAAATTGTCTCTCCTGGATCAATTTTCCTGGTCAGTTGTTTTACCACTGAAGTATTTTGCATTTTCATCTATTTTTTCATTTTTTGGTTCCTGTTTGACTGATTCTTGCTCTCTCATAGAGTTATTAGCTTCCATTTGCCCAATTCTAATTTTTAAGGAGTTGCTTTCTTATATTAGATTTTGTACCTCCTTCCTCATTTGTCCTGTATTTTTTAGGGACTTGTTTTCTTCAGTGTACTTTTTTTTCCAGTTGACCAATTATATTTTTTAAGGACTTGTTTTCTACGGTTAATTTTTGTCCTTCTTTTTCCAGGCTATTGACTCTCTCTTGCATACCTCTCATTTTTTCTTCTACCTCTCTCATTTGACTTTTATAATCCTTCTTGAGCTCTTCTAAGAAGGCTTTTGTGGTGGCAAAGAACTGGAAATTGAGAGGATGCCCATCAATTGGGGAATGGCTGAACAAGTTGTGGAATATGAATGTAATGGAATACTATTGTGTTATAAGAAATGATGAACAGGCTGACTTCAGAAAAACCTGGAAAGACTTGTATGGTCTGATGCTGAGTGAAGTGAGCAGAACCAAGAGAACACTATATACAATAACAGCCACATTGTACGATGACTAATATTGATAAACTTAACCTTTCCCAGCAACATAAGGATCTAAGACATCTCCAAAGGTCTCATGATGGAAAATGCTATCCACATCCAAAGAAAGAATTATGGAGTTTGAATGCAGATTGAAGTATACTGTTTGCTATTTTTTTCTTCTGTTGAGTTTTGTTTCTTCTTTCTGGTGGTTCCTCCTATTGGTTCTAATTCTTACTTACAACATTACTAATGTGAAAATATGTTTAATAGGAATGTATATGTATAGTCTATATCAGATTGTGTGCTGTCTTGGGGAAAGTGATGGGGAGGAAGGGGAAGAAAAATTTTAAACTCAAAAGCATATGGAAGTGATTGTTGATAAATCAAAATAATTAATTAAAAAGAAAGAACCTTACTCTCATCAGATTTGGCTCAAGAAGGGAATAACATAATCAGTTAGGTATAGAAATATAACTTGCCCTAGTAAGGAGGGAGAGAAAGGAGATAGAAAAGCATAAACAGGGGGGAAACAGGATGGAGAGAAAGACACAGATAGTAATCATAATTGTGAATGTCAATGGGATGAACTCTCCCATAAAACAGAAGTAGATAGCAGAATGGATTAAAAACCATAATCCTACAATATATTGTTTACAGGAAACACATTTGAAACAGAGCAACACACACAGGGTAAAGGTAAAAGGCTGGAACAGAATATATTATGCTTCAGCTGAAGTAAAAAAAA